TATATATATATATATTTGATAGTTATTTTAACAAATGTAGTTGACAACTTGCCGTTTCACTGTTAATGTAAAAGGAATTATACTTTATAACACAACTGATTAAAGGAAGTGCTGTAGAAAGAACTTTAATGATGTCATCTGTAGAACATGTTGAAGTCAAAATTGCTATAAACTATAAATAATAATTTTTTAAAAAGAAGTAAAAAATCGATATTTACATTTTATCACTTTATATAACAATTATTATCAAGTCTTATAATTGGATTTGCGAGTTTTTTTATTTGGATACAATATTAAAGTGCTAACGTTTCGTAAACAATTCATTTTAGGACAAGAAGCAGCTTGATGTTGTATTAAGTTGATATTGATATGAAGTAAATTACAATGTTAACAGAAAATTGGTATTCTAATATTTTAATAATGAATTTGGACAAGGAGATAATCTGCGAAACGCATGACTTCTGTATAAAAAATTTTCGTGAAAGCCTTATAAATATTAAATTGCATAAATACAATTTTCAAAATTTCTAATCTAATTATGTAACTATATACAATAAAAATCGACATATATAATAACATTTTATTATTGAAACATGTAACTGTATATATATGCGTACATGTAGTTGCACAGATTTTTTTTATACGTATAAAGAGTAAGATTTTACTAATATTTGCGCTAATGTTTTATATTTAATTGGCCATTTGATAATTCAAGTCAATTAATATTTTCAGAGAAATATCAGTTCTTAAGTTAATCAGCAATATAAATTTAGAATTATAAATCAATTCTAGATCTAATATAATACTAGAATTAAAATTTTTATACCTGAAATGCAATGCAAGTTATAAGGAGGCTAAATATACATATTATTTGCAATCCAACAAATTTTGATTTTTCATAAGGCCACAAGCCAACTATCAACAAGAGAGTTCGATTAAGATTGAAATATCTATTCACAACACTGTTCATGTTTCAGCTAACTCTAAAATGCTTTTAACGGAATTGATCAATAAAGTTGCGCTTATTCCCACCATACAGTTGAATGATTAAATGTTTAAAAAATTTGTTTTTCTAATTCAAGAAATGTTCTACAATTTAAGACAATTTCAGTAATTCAATCAATTTCATGGAATTGTTGAAATTTACATAAATTTTAGAAAATTTTTTGAATCTTCAATGATAAAAGTACCATGAAATGTTCAATAAAATACTGATGTAGTATTAAAACCCTCATAATTTAATATTACTTTTTTAAAATATGGTGCGTTTATGCGCTCGATTCAGCTACGAAGAAATTCAACAGATGCTCTTTTCTCATAGAATAACATCCATATGAAAAACTATGGCTGTAAAACTATAGCGCAAGCACTGTAGCTTCATTTTCAACGACGCGTGTTCGCTTGCATCATTCTCAAATACGCTCTTGTAAGTCACCCTCGATTTTTTACTCACTACTATCAATTTGAAAATACAGTAAATTAATTATAAAATTATTAGTTTGTATTTTAGACCTTAATTTTAACAATAAACACACGTATATAATTTATATTACATATTTGTAACATCTAATTAAGTTTTATATATATAGTGTAGAATAATTGTTGCAGAACACTTGTTGCATTAATATTATGATAAATGAACTTTGAACAATAATAAATATTAATTAGCGTTCAATGAGAACATTTAAAGTGGGGCATTTTGAGCGCAATACATAAAATATATTCACAATAATTTTACATTTTTTGTCGATATAATATTCTTGGACTTTTCAGTTTAATTTAAATCATCATTAGCAATAGCATGTAATTTTCATAAGCAATTTTCCAATCCGCATATGTTGGAAATGGTCTCTGCGTTCCAGAGAACCCCTACTTCTTAACTGAGAAATGCCATTATTTTTCTTCGTTATTAAAATGTGAATAACCAAATGATACTCGAATGAAACAATGATATTAGTTGTATTGATTTTACAGTTTCTCACTTTTTCTCACAACGCAGAGACAACATCATCAACATATGATGTTGTCTCTGCGTTGTGGATTAGAGTATTGCTTATGAAAATTATATGGTATTGGTAATGATAATTTAAAGTAAAAACCGTAATGTCCAAGAATATTGTATTATCAAGTAACGTAAAATTATTGTGAATATGTTTTTATGTATTGCTCTCCAAGTACTGCGCTGTAAATGCCTTCACTGCTCGCTAATTAATACTTATTATTGTGTGATTTTCGAGAACCCTATTAAACATAATTGTTTTTAAATAAACTTTAATTACATTAAAGACGCATCATGATCACGAAATAAAATACATTTTTCCGATGTACTTCTATATATATAGAGAGGGGATTGCAGCTTTGCTCGAAAATAAAATTAAATAAACTAATTTTTTTCTGTAAGTTAAAAATTATCGATGTTTTACGACACATTTCCACTTGTTGCTAACGTTTCATTTTTACCATTCGAACTTTCACCTTCAATATTCTTTACATTGCTAGGATCGGATAACGATTCAGGTACCTATACGAAAAAAAAATTAAAGTATTAGAAAATGAATCGTGGATAATTTATCATACAAAATTATCACATATTTTTATCTGACGAGGTAAATTAGACAAAGTGAATAAAGAGAATACTTATCGTTCAGATATACCACGAAGAAGAAGATTCGCAATCAATTTACTGATCCTATGAAAGGAACGTTCAATTTACTGATAAAGATCCTATGAAGTTCATTAGCAAGAAAATTACATTTTGCAAGTACATAGGTCATTGTTATGATTTCAACTCATTATTACCGTATCATTGAATTTATTTATTCTTAATTTTTTTTGGCGGAACTGTGAGAATGGTTATTCGCAGATATTGTAAATAAATAATATAACATTTGGCGAATCAGGCCATCGTGGCCTTGATTTTAAAATCATAATTAGATTTGATTAAACACCAATCAATTGCGGTCCTTTCATTTAAAAATACTTACGAAATCAATCTTAGAATAGTAGTATTTGTTATGAGATTATTAAGCATTGTTAGAGAATCACAAGTCATTTTATGTGAGCCTATGGACTTTGACCAAGGCTAAACTCGTCTACGAAAATGTGAAAAAGTTCATGCGGCAAGTGTAGTATTTGATACTTTGTGTAGAAAAGCGATTGATGTAAAAGAAGAAAATACTAAGCATGGAAAATCTTTATTAAATTTGAAAGTGTCTGGCGATGGATCCTGAAAAACACGCGGCTTCTTTTCATTATTTGGTGTCACGACGATAATAGGAAATTACACTGGCAGGATAATAGATTGTAAAGGGCAGTTATTGCCAATCATACGTATTAGAAAAATAAACAAAACTGAAAACAATCTTCTATGATACAAACAACACAGGCAAGAATGTATTATAAACCATACTGACTTTGCAGGAAAAATGTTGTGCGCGATAACCTCTCGAGTCTGACAGTAGCCACTGAATACAGGAGCATAGTCTTTTTTAGTTATCAAATCTGAAATATAAAATATGCACTTCCAAATAGCAGATCCAATAATGAATAATAAATAAATGTACACGGAATGGTGATTTTAGCATCATCCATCCTGTAACACGTGGAAGTATTATTTTATTATAATAACGGGGACGCTAAGTGATCGTTCCATTTAAATTTAGTATTCTTTGCCATAGGATTTTCTATTTTCAATTCAACAATTGTGATTGCAATATAAGAAATCGAAGACAATCCAAATATCGATTTTCATGTACCTGCGGATTCTTAAAAATTCTTGTCCTTCATACTGGATTCTCCATTTTGAATTGCACATTTTTTACTACAGATTTGAAATCAGTGATTAAAAAAGACTACACACCATGCTCTCGTATTTGATGGCTATGTCTCTGACTCAAAGGGATATGCGCGAGTCGTTGACGCATTAAATTCAATAATTTCTGAACAAATGATCGGAAAATTAGTTTCTCAAAAAAGGATTTAAACTAGAAACATACAATTATGAGAACAAATTGTCAGATATTTTTAATGATTTTTTATTTTTTTCTTTCGAATTATTTGGTTTTATATTTCAAAGTTTGTCAATTTTTCCGGTTTTTTGCAACTTTTTCAAAGTTTTTTAAATGTGATTTGCATAAAACATTTTTATAATATCGAAAAAATATTTTAGTATTGTTGGAACATTTCTGAGTTAAATGCCACAAAACAGACCTCGATATCATTTTTTGTTTAATGTGTCTGTTTAGAAATTGTTTTGCGATTATTTAAAAAATTGAATGTATTGGAAAAAAAACGAACATAATAGCTTTCAGCGCTTCAAAATCCAATGAAAACATCTTTCAAAGTTCAAAGAGGAAGACCCCCCCCCCCCCCACCGTCTAAATTTTTTCGGCTTATATAATCGGTCCAGTATCGAACAAAATTTAACAGATGTTCCTTTTTCATAGAATACCATTCACGCAAGAAATATAAAGTGAATGTTACGCAAAAATATTATTAGTTCGTCAGTTTTCATTGCTCGTTCGTATGTTTCAATATGTATATATTTATACGTTTATGATCTACTGGGGTATAATTGTTTTAAAAGTATTACACGTAAACATTATTATACAATAACAATGTTGTGTAATATTAATGTATAATAATTCTATATTAATGTAAAAATTATTATTAATTAATGTACTTACATTTCTATTTTTTTTTAATATATAGTATATATTTCCTATGTTGTCTATACTAAATTATCTATATTAAATTAATGTCTATAAAAAGATCTGACAATTTGTTCTCATAATTGTATGTTTCTAGTTTAAATCCTTTTTTGAGAAACTAATTTTCCGATCATTTGTTCAGAAATTGAATTTAATGCGTCAATGACTCGCGCATACAGTGCGCGATATCCCTTTGAGTCAGAGACATAGCCATCAAATACGAGAGTATGGTGTGTAGTCTTTTTTAATTACTGATTTCAAATCTGTAGTAAAAAATATGCAATTTAAAATGGAGAATCCAGTTGTGAAAGACAAGAATTTTTAAGAATCAGCAGATACATGAAAATCGATATTTGGTTTGTCTTCGATTTTTTATATTGTCTATACTAAATTAAATAATGTTTTATGAAATATGAAATATTACAGGTCTAAATATCAAATAGAAGCTCAAAAAATAGTAGTATTAAAATAATATCGATTTTCAAGGCAATATTAAAAAAATAGAATAAATAACATAAATATGAATGCATTAAAGTAATCTAAGAATCTAAAAGGTGTGAAGAAGAAGGATATTAAAAGAATAAAAAAAAAGCTAACACGTAAAATTTAGTAATTACTCAATAACATAGTCACTATTCAATCTATTTTATTCTGTCTTTATTATGTAATTCTGTCTTTATTATATAATATTATGTAATTTACTATTAAATATAAAAAAAAATAACATATAATGCAAATATGTATATTTTTTTACTTTTTTTTTACATTAAATATTAATGTACAATATTTTTTTTCATCGTTCATTTATAAATTAGTTATGTTAATATTTTTGCCATTTTTTATTTGATCGTTACAGATAACATAAATTTATGTTTAATATCAAATTTGCTTTGTACATGAATAAAATATAAACATGAAACATTTGACAAAATTTATGGTAATGTGTAAGTTTATATAAGAACAGTCGATTTATAGTTTGCAGATTTTTAGATTCATTACTAACTTTTATCCCATATATATGTCTCAATTTATTGATTAATGAATTAAAGATTGTGAATAAAAAAGTATAATTATAACACGTTTCGAGAAAACAATAAATTAACACATTTGATAAAATTAAAAATTACACGTGAGTGTATATAAGAGCAGTACATTCGTACTTAGTAAATTTTTTATGTTCAATTTCTCTCTTTTTTCATGATTTATAAGAAAAAAATTGTTTAAAGAATTAAAAATTTTAAATGAAATAATTACATTTTGATTTGGAAACTAATATATACTTTCTGCAAAATTTGGTATGTTGTACGATAAAAAATATTTACAAATTAATAATTAAATGATTAATTTTAAATTTGATTAGAACTATTATTATCGCATCACTATATCTACCCTAATAGAGGGATTTAGTTGAAATTTTCGTACGCGTATCAACATTTATTAATTTCTCTTTTATCATTCTCATTTTCGCGATGAACTACCTGATGTAACTAAAATAAGTAATCCAGTATAATAGCACAGAGAATTTAAAAGAATTCAGTTGTACGTCATCAATTCTCAATTCGTTTTAGATGCAAAAAGAATTCTTTTTCTGAGAAGTTCTGAAAAAAAGAATTCTTTTTTCTGAAAATGAACTCAGCATTCATGACATACGATTAAATTCTTTTGAATTCTTTTGAAACTCTCTGTGTTGTCTGGGAAAATTTAATTCCCGTTTTTAAATAGCAGGATTGATTTTATAACATTACACACACACACACACACACACGCACACACGCATGGACGCACACGCACAGTCAACTTTTATATGATTAAAACTTTTAGTCGCGATGACTATGAAGTGCCTTAAATAACGTGCATTTAATGAGTGTCACTGATGTAATATTATATTACAATTGAAAATATCAATTCACGACATTAAGTACCTCGAAAATTCCACTTATAATATATTAGAAGTAAGCAATAAATCATAAAGAAAGTCCATGTTTTATCTACGAATAAAAATAAAATATTGTTTCTCTTTGATCGAAGACAAAATTAATCACTCACACAATGTATGATTGATAAATCTTATTGTGTGAGATATTTTTAGAAAAAAAACCTGTGTATTTTAAATTATATTTTTATAATATTATATACTCTTTGTACATCAATTTTATTATGCGACAAGCGTGCAACATAGCATTAGCTTACTATAATTAAGCTCAATGAAGTATAGTAGTACAGTGTGATAAAGAAGAAAGTTCATAATCATTAGGTTATCAAGATTAATAAAAGTAACAAAGATTTTAAATATAAGAAATTGGATTAATGAAAATCCATTTGTAAGAAGCTAATATTTATAAGAAGCTAATATTGTTAATTATTACGAGAATAAATCATATTAAATCCTAAATTATGTTTTCTTAATTAAAATGTCCTTTACTCTTACATATACAAAATAAAACATTTAATATTTTAAATTGATTAAAATAACTTTATCATTCCTGAACGAAATCGTGAATCATTCCATTAAAATTTATACAACACAACAAATAAATAGAGATTTATTAATACAGATTTATTAAGATTTATTAAGCAATAAAACACATTTTTATTTTCTAATTTATTCTTTGTACAGTCATTTAATTGAAGATTATGATCAGGGGTATATATTAAATTTATTTATATATTAATTGAGTCATGTTTTATTAACACAGCAGCAAATAGAGATTATAATGATCTATAAAGATTTATTTATCCCCATTTATTTCACATCTTTTTTTTTTCTAACAATTATATTAGCATAATTTGAGATAATTTTCATAATTTAATTTACTAGTAAAATAATACAAGATATATCATTAAATTGAAATACACAATTTAAAAATAATCGTTAGAATACATAAAGGCCCATTAAATAATCGATCCTACGTTAAAAGAAATTCAACATATGCTTTTTTCTCATGGAATATTATGAGAACGATCCGTGAGACAAATAATGAAGTGAAAATTGCGCAAGCGCATTAACCGTTTTTATTCATCAGTATTTATCTTCGTTCTTTGATAGTGATATAATTGTTATTTCTTTTCTATTCTTTAGAACAAAAATATTTTAAGAATGACACATCCTCTACAGATTAAATGAATTTAAAGCTAGTATGTACATAAAGTCAAAGGAATTCAACGAAAATAATAATAAAAATTTTTATAAATGAAATAAATGAAATACCAAAACAAAATTCATAGATGTTCAATTATATATATTTATAAACATATAGAATTCATTCAGATAGATTTCTTTCAGAGAAAAATAATTCCGCTCTATCTACAGAAGAATGCTCAAAAATTGCGAGACACCCTGTATAACATATAATTTTGCTTTTTTTTTATATTTTGTTAGTTTTAGTTCTATTGAAGAAAATTAAAAATTGTTGAAAAATGTTTTAGTAACTATAAATGAATAAATGAGAGGAATGTATAATTATTATCACATTTAAATGATAGAATAAATAATCCCTATTTTTATCTCTTTCGTTTTAAATTTTAACATTAATTTTATACATTACTTTAAATACGAAGCGCCACTACAGTCTGAATGTTAAGATGTTGAACTATGATATATATTCATATAAATGAATTAATTTCAGAAATGATAATTGCGTGCCGATATGATTGTCGGACTTTCAACGTATTCAATCTGAAATATTAATAATCCCCCCAAATTTCCCAAATTAATCTTAAAAAACTGTAATAAACTTATTACGAAAAATATTACCTTAGCCTGAAATCGAAACCGAATCTCTTACGTGAACGTCCTAATTTAAGATTTAATTAATTTGGGAAATTTTCATCGTAATGTTCAGACTGTGACGCTTCATATTAAAAGTAATGTATTTAACATAAACGGTTTTGTTTCCAATCTTATTATTAATTTTATAATTTAAATTAATTCAATAATTTAGCTACAACGATACAAAAAAATATCAGTGAGACTAAAATATTTATTACTTGATACTTTTTGTAGAGTAGAAGATCGAACGGTTAAATAATAGATTCACAGTGTGGAACGAAATTTAACAGATGTTTTCCTTTTCATAGAATATCATTCACGCGAGAAATTATAAAGGGAATGTTACACAAACATATTATTAATTCGTCAGTTTTTACAGCTCATTCGTATGTTTCATTTCAATATATGTTATATATATATGTACGTTATATATCTGTGTGCTGGAGTATAAATGTTTTAAAAATATCATAAACATAATTACATAATAACAATATTGTGTAATATTATTGTATAATAATTATATAATTATTGTACTTATATTTCTATTTTTTTTTAATGTATGTTATATTTATGATATATTTCTTGTTTATTGAATGATATATTTCTTATGTTATCTATACAAAATTAAATAATGTTTTATAAAATATGAAATAATATAAATTTATAAATATCAAACAGAAGATTATATAAAATAGTAGTATTATAGTAATTAGTAGTAAAATAATATCGATTCTCAAGGTACAACATTAAAAAACTGAATAAATAATATATATGCGTGAGGTATTAAATTAATCTAAGACTCTATAAGACAATAAAGTGGAATATTAATTAAAAAAAGAAAGCTAACACATACGTAAAATTATATCACTACTTAATTTATTTTACTCTTTCTTAGTATGTAAATTATTACTATTAAATATAAAGTAGCGTGCAATGCAAATATGTATATTAGTTAATCTTTTCTTTATATTAAGAATTATTATAAAATATTTCTTCTTCTATCCTTCAACTATACATTATTTATGTCAATGACTTCGCTTTTTAGACATGAGATATATTGTAAACTGTCTTTTATTTACTTCATGCTATTACAATACAAACTATAATATATTATTATGATTGCATTGAATATATAACAATAAAGTAAGAAACGGACGCATTTATTAACTGTAAAAATTATTATATTTGTTTTCATTTTGTTGCATTATATAAAAAATATATTTTTAGTATTATAGTACAGCACATAAAATATATATTTTGTGTACCGTGGCAAAACATTCTAAGGACGCTACAAACAATCCACCGACTTTCAGGCCAAAACTTTTATTACCTCTTTGCAGTAGGATCAATATTAGCCTTTGTATGGGTAAAGGAGTTACGTACCATTGAACTTTGTATCTAAAATTAATGATGATTTAAAAAATTAGAAAAAAATAAGAACATTTAGATGATGCTTTTTCATGTATATATATGTATATATATATATCATGTATATATATGTGCCATGTATTATATTAATTCTTTAAAATTTAATTACTAATACTTTTCACTTTTTTATTAATAATTTAGAGGCCAATTTTAAAACTCTTAACTGTAATTGTAACATTATAATCGTTAAAAGTTACATAATAGGCTTCTAAAGTTCTTTTATATAATTACAGTATAAAACAATTATATTACTTACGCAGTGACAAATATATAATTATTATGATCTATAATTTGCTGTCCGATCAAAGTACATAAAAACATGTATGAAAAACAAAAAAATGTGATTATAAAACATAGTAAAAGTTCTCCAGTATTATATTCGAGTAATACAATCTGAAAGAGCTAGAAAGACAAATGTATTATTAGCTACGTTCAACAGAGAGAACTAATCAGATAGCACTTAGTGATTCTTTAACATAATTGGTTCTTGCCTTTAGTTCTTCACTGGATCTAAGTATAGAAACCAATTATATTGAAGAATTACTAAGCGCTAACTGATTAATTTTTCTGCTGAACGCAGCTATTCAGATCAAATCGAGGGAATATACTATAAATGTAATTTAGCACAACATTTATCTACTATAAATTAATGTATTAAGGTATATATATTTTCATAAATAGAAAATTATGAATTTTAATTATAATTGCTATATATATGAAATATTTCTTATTATTATTATATATATTATATTTTAAATAAATATTACAACAAATTTATAATAAATTTGAAGATATCAAAAATTTGATGTTATATTATTAAGAATCTACGTGTGAAGTGAATTTCTGGCAGTAAAATTAATAGTTACATCTTATTTTTTATATAATCATTTTTTAATTTTATATTTAAAGCTTGTATTGTAAAAAATTTAAATATCCGGATATGGATTTAAAAATAAAAAAATTGTGTTAACGAATATATGTCAATAATACCTTAAAATCCAAATTTAAATAATCTTTTCATAATATTGTTACTTTCAAAATATTAATCTAATCTTTAGCAATATTGTTTGTTAGAAAAAAACATTAAGATTATTAATCTAAAGCAACATAACGAAATAATATGCAAACCATTGTAAAAAACAAGACGCACTCGAAAAATATTTAGGCTTATAGAAAGAACTCCAAATGCTATTAAAAGCATGAACGAGATTTGAAATCTGGATATAAAATAGTTGGAGAATCTAAAAGTAAACGTAAGTTATTACGAATGTTATATATTTATTGCAGAATATGTAGATACCTACGTCATAGATTTTCGATGAATATCTACAGCACGAATTAGATCTTTATAAACCAAAATCTCTTTCTGCATACTAAGGTCTTTTAATGTATAAATATGTATAGTGTTCTTGATACGGTAACTGTAAATAATTTAATTGATAACTATAGCAAGAAATAAAAATGATTTTAAAGAAATAAGAGAAAAAAATTGCTTGATATAACTCTTGATAATATAAAAAAAAATTTAACTCTTAACAATATAATTTAATAAAATAATTTTTATTATTGGGAGTACAAATTAGTTCGGTCCGTTTTTTGTGCATTTATTTCAAAACAAAATGAAAGAACAGATCAATTAAAGTATTATTCATCGCGGCCTACTACTTTTTCCCATCTCTCAGGCAATTTTCGAATTCCATCTCGAAAAAATGACTCATCTTTGAAGGCGATCCAATTTTGGAGCCAATTATCGATTTCTGCGAAAGAATTGAACCGGTGACTTGCTGCATCCTTTGGAACAATCAGTAATCAGAAGGAGCAATGTCCGGAGAATACGGCGGGTGCGGTAAAACATACCATTTGAGCGTTTCCAAATATGTTTTTACGACTTTAGCGAAATAAGGCCGAGCATTATCATAAAGAAGAATAACTTTATTATGTCTTTACTTGTATTCCGACCGTTTTTTTCGCAATGCACGGCTCAAACGAATCAATTATAGCCGATACCGATCGCTCGTAATGGAATCGCCGGATTTCAACAGCTCATAGTAAACAAGACTCTTTTGATCCCACCAGATACAGAGCATGATCTTCGAACCATGAATGCTCGGCCGTGGTGTTGATGTTGAGATCGATGGCAACGATTGACCGGGCTTAGCGTAGTATTTTTTCTTCTTTCTTGTCGTAGAATATCCACTTATTATCTCCAGTCACAATCCGATGCAAAAAAACCTTTTCTCTGTTATCTTTGAATCAGCTATTCGCAAGTGAAAAATCGCCTTTCAACGTCTCTCGGTTTCAGTTCATAAAGCATTCAATTTTCTTGTTTTTTAATCATTCCCATGGCCCAATTGTACAGAAACGGCTTGTTGAGTTACCTCCAATGATTCTGCAAACTCCTCTTGCGTTTGACTCTGATCTTCTTCGAATGCCTCCAATTCTTTGTCTTCGAATTTTTTTGGCTGTCCAGAGCGAGGCTTGTCTTCAACGGTGAAATCTTCATCCTTGAAACCATTCCCTACATTTATCAATTGGAGCAGTGTCACCATAAACTTCGACAAGATGATGGGCCTCAGCCGCACTTTTCTTCCAATTAAAACAGAAAATCAAAACCTCTCGCAAATGCTGCTTGGTTAACAAAATTCGACATTTCAAACACAATAAAAATCAAGATTTTTGTATGAAACTCAAAGCGATATAAACTGAATATTATTAGCAGATGTTCAACCTCTCTGAAACCGCCAAAATCAGCTATGAACCATTCACAACAGCTGGAATTATATTTAGGGAAACCGACCGACCTAATTTGTACTCGCAATAGTATGCTCACGTTGCGCATTTATTATTTGTCTGATTCTGTAGCATAATACATATCTGCACAAATACATATTGTTGTGATAAGCTTATTTGTAATAATACATAAAACCGGAATGCTAAAATTTTCAGTAACATTAAAATATAAATATAAATGTTAACTACTTCTCACGTATTTGATTTTATTCCATTAAAATTTTAATTTCAAGATAAAGTTAAAAAGTAATTTCAGATACACTATATATATTGCACATTATTGTAAGGAATCATGCATATTAAGATTTCGTTATTTTAATAAAATAACTTAAAGTTTAACTATTTAGATTTTAATTTTACTTTTAATTTTAAGCATATTAATAACTGATATTTTATGAAGTAAACTTTTTATATCAATACAAATACGTTTTACAAATGAGAAAAAAGTCCATTTCTAATTTAAAATTTTGTAACAATTTTTAAGATGCTTATTAGCATCAAATTATTGATTTTTTCCCATGTTGATTAGCATCAAAATTATTATTACAGCAGTTACTTTTCAGTTTAATTGTATGATATTTTTACTTCAGTTCTTTTCATGACTGTGTTTCATGACTGAAAATGATATTATCACATAGATTATAGATTATAGAATATATAACACATAGATTATAGAATTGGGTATACATCTAAATATACTTATAAAATTCACACCGAAGTATTTAAGCATTTAAAATATAAATCATATCATGTACACATTTGTTACTTATCGTTAATCGTTCATTCATTCAGCTCAGTACTTTGTTAAATTATTTAATTATTATATGTGTATTATGTTACCTAGCAATTTTAAACATTCCGCAGAAATGTTGAAGATATGCAAGGAGCAATGTTCCTGTCGCTACTGCTGCTGTGAATCCTATAATAAAACCTGTATTTACATGAACAAATAATAAATAGAAATATTTTTGTTGATCGATAAAATATTTGGTGGAGATCGGCAGGTGATGTAATCGAGATACGTTTGTAGATAATACAATATCAATAAACTCCAACCATACAAAGGTGCCCATACATACAGATATGCTACAAATAAGAATCACTACTCACTATTATGAAAAGTTAAATATAAAATATATTTTTTAAAACTCTTTAAAATTTTATGTTATTATAAATATATATAATATATATTTTAAAATAGTTTATATGTGAATTTTTTTCAAGTTAAATCAATATATAATGAACTCGAAAATTAAATTAATCTTTATTAAACATAATTTTATTTAAAACATTTTTCTGAAATCAATAATAAAGAAGTTTTTGAAGGTGATGAATTAAAACGGAACATTCTATATATTTATTATATTTCCTTTATTAAATATGAAAAATTCTAAGATATATTTGGTACCATTATTTCATATTTCAAATTATACAATATTCAAGTAACACATATTTGTTATTGCAATATCAATCTTGTTTTTTAAACTATATTATACTTATGAGTACGTACAGTTAAAATATTTTATTTACGCAGCATTTTGGCTTGCATTTTTATTCTTTGGTACATTTATATTCAAATACTAACTTGACTCATATAAATTAAAATAGATATTTTTTAGTTGTAAAAATTTTAATAATAGTTTTATTGATTAATTTCCAACGTAAAAAGAAATAAAAAGATGTTTTAATTCCTTACTTGTAAGCACAGTCGTATACTGTTTGGCATTATTTCCATATTTATTTATAATAGCAAGTTCGTTGCTGTCTCTTAAATCGTTGTAGACATGCTGAATTTGGTTCATTAATTTTTTTATCTATCCAATC